CCCCACCCGCCTTGATCCGCCCATGCTTTTATTTGATTGATGAGATTAATGCATATATTTTGATGTAGGTAATACACAAATACCTATTATTTAATATACTTTAATAGGTTCTGCCTATCGGTTTCGGCGCTGTATTGAAGCAGTAGGATGTCGAAGGCGAAGTTCCCCGAGGTGGTTCACTGATAACGTCCCTTGAATGACGGAGTTCTGATAGCCTGACGTGTTCTGTCATGGCGTTCTGTGGTCTTGCACAACTGACCAACGTGGTGCAGGAAGAATGGAGGAGAATTCAGCAGCACAGAATCCCATATATTCTGTCAGTGGTATATACGTACATTGCAACATTTGATGCTATTCCGTGGCTAACCTTTTGACTTATACATCTTTAGGTCTTCAATCGACCGCCACCTTGCAATTGGTAAATCTTTATTCAGTTGCCATACACTAGGTAAAGCACTTTGCATGTGTTTGTGACGCGTGGAGCAGTGTTCGCTCACATTTTCGCGAACATGAGTGCGTGAGTTCCGTTTTACGCCGCTTTTCTCAATGTTCCAGCAATATCATGGCAGGGAACACCATAAATGGGCTTCACACCTTTGCCCTTGTGGGGAATCAAACCCGGGTCTTCAGCATGACGAGCGAACGCTTTAACCACTAGGCTACCCCACCGCCCCTTTTCGCGAACAACTGTCATCGTCACTATTTGACAGTGGTTAACAAACACATGCTTATGATAACAACAGAACGGTAGAGTCGTCTCAGCCTGCTTTTAGCAAGACTTTACCAGTGTGATAAGTAATTTGTCGATTTTATGTAAACCATATTTTTGAGTCTGTAAAACCCACATCGTTTTCGTTGTCAGGATTACTTTTGTTAAGGTTTAGTTGTGCCAAAACCGCCTTGAACATATAAGACTGTATACTTAGGTGAGGTGAGGTGAGGTGAGGTGAGGTGAAATTGGGTTTAACGTCGTGCTTGAGAATATTTCGCTCATATGACGACGTGCATGCGTGTGTATGTGCGGCTGCATGTACTAGCCCAGACTGAAGCTGGTTTTATAGTGCTAGCCCACTGAGATACCATGCCGCAGTGAAGCAGAAATACCCCACTCAGACACATTATACTGACTCCGAGCCGACCAGTCCTTGTTGTACCCATTAATGCCGAGCGCCAGACAGGGACCAACAAGTACCATATTTTAACGTCTTTTGGTATGACGCGGTCGGGGATCGAACCCGCGACCTTCCGCTCTCCGGGCGGACGCTCTAACCACTACACCACGGAGGCGGTCCTGTATACTTAGGATACATCTGAAAAGTGATAGCTCTTGTCACACGTGTAAATCATGTTCTCTCACAACCATGGGGCGTATAATCACGGGTTTTACGTTTTCTTTAATACCTTAAATACATACGGGCATTTAGATATACTACTCAATAGAAGTAAAAACATGTTATTTCTACATACTTCCATAGTTGTTATATCATGTCACAAGTACTGTTATGGTATGGGATATGGGGCTTAAGTGCTTTTTAATTGTTTACTAAGTACTTAAACAGTCGAACAACTCGACCGAAGGCAAAGGACAATAATACCAAAACCTTCTAAGGTGTATCGCTGTCTTCTAAGGTGAGACACCGTTTCCAAAGGTCACATGTACAATTGTATGGACATTCAACCATACAACTCAGAAAGTGTTGTATAAATCGTAGACATATCTACTCCACTAATGTTCGCCATCAAACGATTCAGTTATGACTCATACGGCCATTCATACCCCCTTAAAAGTATTTAATATATTAATGGCTTGATCTTTTTCAGCACCTAAACGTGTTGCACTCTGAAGATGGCAGTCATTCCTTTGTTGCGGCATATAACCCGCAGCCATTAACCACGAACAAATATTGAAATAAACACAGTAGTTAATACCCGGTATTGCTCTACAACATGTCAAGTGATACAGCACATCTGAAATACCGACTGAAAGTACATGTTATGTGTTTGTTCTTGAGTACTGAATGTAACATGCTTTTTCTACTTTAAGCTCATTTTGATAAATGTTGTTCGGGATGGACTGCAGCTCGGCTGCACAATACCCTGCACTCTGTTTGCGAAGGGAGGCTGAACGACAGAGGCAGCTGTACCCACACATCCACCATCACCCCTCAGGTCACGTGACCCCTGCTTTCAGCGACCTAGCAGATACATTAACATGACATATTTGCAACGTGAACGTATTAATGAAACTTTTTCTGAATGATTTCAACAGTTTTATTTTTTAAAAATATTTCATCATGCCGCTGTGACATAAACTAACACACACAAAAAGTATACATCCGTCTTTAACGATTGTTATAATGGAACATACAAGCCATGGTATTCAATGGCTGATGTGGATGTAATGGTTATGTTTTGGAATTTAAGCTTGCAGTGTTTCAGTGTTTCAGTGTTTCCAGACTCTTAAAATTTTGACAATGTTTGCAATTGTATGGTCAAAAGCAATTTCCAACTGTTTGCCAGGCAGTCTAGGACTTTATTCTTCTCTGGTGAGGAAAACATAAACAGTATCAGCAATGATAAACATGTGTGAACTCCGTGTTGTGGAAAATGCTTTAAATCATTAAGTTGCTAAGTTGCACAGGACGTGGCTCAGTGTGGACTGTAGATATAGTTGATATTCAATGTACAACTGTGCACTCATCATTTAGCAGATACCGAAATGCATTATATATGCTTGGGGTTATATCATATATATTTGGAAATTGGGAGGTTCGGGACAATTCAAGTACTAATCATAATAATAAATCACTCTAAAACACATCTATATACAAAGTCACCTCTAAACAGATAGGCCGTTGGTCCACTGATACCAATGTGTGGTTTTCTTCCTGCCCGGTACGAAGACAAGAAGACAGAAACATGATTACAGCTAGTGGTACACGCACATGAATCAGACTGAGCCGTCCAAGAGTGATAAGCAAGGTGTTAGGTTCCATTAACACATACCCTTGATGATGATGATGATGTGAACTTCTATAACGCTAAATTCCATACACCAAGTGCATGCTCAAAGTGCATCCAAATGAAAGATCATAAGATAGTCTGAAAAGATGGGTCTTGAGCTGAGTTCTTAATGAATCAATTGATGGGGCATGACTTAAGTTATTTTATAGAGGCAGTTCATTCTACAGGACAGGACAAGATTTTCCACCAACAGTTGCGAACTTGAAATTTGGAACTGCAAGCTGACACTGGGCTTGTGAGCAAAGTGACGTAGCTGGTTTGTAGTGTTGAAGCAGACAAGGCAGGTATGGTGGAGCTCGACTATGGTGTGACCTTTACACCGGGTACAGAGTCTTAAACTGAATCCTTGCTTCTACTGGGAGCCAGTGCAAGGACACCCACACACCCTTGGCCCTTATAACGAAGCAGGTCCCATCTGATTATTAAAAGCTAAAGGGACCACACATGATAACTCGTCTTGCTCCTTCTGTCAAACTTGGGAATATGAAACGTGCGCGACAGAGAACGAACCCTTGACGACTTCAACTTTCCAACGGTCATCTTTCCCTTCGGTACAACAATACTCTTGCGGCTTTCCTGTATAACTCCATTCTTGAGGCGCAGTCGATCATGGATTTGCTATGAGTATTAGTGAATGAGTGGGTGAGTGAGTATGGTTTTACACCGCTTTGAGCAATATTCCAAGCAATATCCAGGGGACACCAGAAATGGTCTTCACACATTGTACCCATGTGGGGAACCGAACCCTGATCTTCTTTCGACGAGCGAACTCTTTAACCGCTAGGCTACCCCAAACACTGACACGAAGGCCTAAGAAGCAAAGCTTTTGAAAAGTGTAGACAACTGGAGATCATTTCCATTTTACACATCAGTGACAAAAATTGGTCAATTCTCTATTTTGACCATATGATCTCGTAGTTTCCATGTGGACACTTGACATGCTACTGCATGTGTGATGACGAGAGCAGGATACGCTCACCGTCTCGCGGTACAGCTTGTTGATATTGATCTATAAAAACAGATGAGGACATGCTCGGACATTGGACTGTGCTTTTATCGATATTCCTTATGATTATGGAAATGTTTTTTTGTGATCCAGTTCCATGTCAGAAATTCAAAGTCTGAGCGGCGTCAGTGACCTCATATTCGTCTTTGTTTATTGATGAATAAATTTGAACATTTAAGAGGCACTGAAATGTACATGCTTTTAAGTAGATTTTTGTATAATGAATGATCTGAATGAGTGAGTTTTACGCGGCACGTAGTAATATTACAGCAATATGGCGGCGGTCTGTAAATAAATAATCGAGTCTTTACAATCCAGTGATCAACAGCATTAGCATCGATCTACGCAATTGGAATACACGTGTCAACCAAGTCAGCGAGCCTGGCCACCCGATCCCGTTAGTCGCCTCTTACGACAAGCATGGGTTACGGAAGATCAGTTCTAACCCGGATCTTCACGAGTCCATTAATACTTCAAACGGTACAGGACGCGTGCCCTTGTGCCAATCCCTGCTCATTACGATAATTCATAGCCTGGATCCCAAGACATATGAGACAATGTTTCTTTGCACGGGATTGGCGGAAACGTCGCTAAACAAATCAGAGTACCGTCTTTCAATTTGTGCGGGGACCCAGGGTCTCTGTAACAAAAAGACTTTACTTAACGGTAGTTTATCTTTAAACGTTTTACATATTCAGTATCCCAGGTCTTTCTACACACTATTTACCAAGGGCCTGCCAATAAAATTGTGGAAATTCAATATTTACACTTACCTCAATGGTTACTATGTGTCGTTGTATAATCCACTGTGGGCCACTCCAGCCCACCTCCCCGACGTCACTACGAGTTTAGTAAAGAATAAAGTAATAATTACTTAAAGAACATTTGAACAGAATAAGACGAACAAAGGGCGCGCTGTTGGGTAACAATCCATTGGGTTATTTAACTGCTTGTGGGGAGTTGGGAGTCCATTTCGGCGGGGGTCGCCTTACTGACGGAACGTTTAGTTTACAAGGTATCTCGAGAAACCGAGAGACATACTGATAAGGTGGGTTGGTTTTCTTCAAATATTTAACATGCTTTGTTGTGCTAATTTCAGAAATATGCCATGCATTTGTGTCACAATCATGATATGAATTAAATGTTATTAAATGACTCACCAAATATTTTGTAGAAACCCATCTCCCAAAGAGACGGAGCTAATTTATAAAGTAAAGCGGGCATATCAAGGTGATATTTGAAAAGAAAATTCAGTCGAGTATTTATCCTAAACCTGGGAAAGTTTATCCAGGGAATATCCCACATGCCCGAGCCAACTTATAGTGTATTTTGTGTAAGAAAACACGACTTTCTCAATACAACGGGCACGTTGATATAACCTGCGTGTCAGTCAGCCCGAGAAAATTGCTTTTATTGAGTAAACATGTGACATAACCTTTAAATTTTTCTTTTTAATGTTTCCATGTTCTAAGGAAAAAAACTTCAAAATGATGAGAGGCATAGGCATAAGCCGCTGTTGTACATATTTGTTTTATAGGTATGTTCGTACTGTCTCGACATGAAAAGAACTTATCAAATGTATTAAATCCGTTGATACTGGGTAATACACGCGTAAAACACATGAAACGTCAGTGTAAAAAAATCCCAGTCTTGAATGTCTTCAGGAACAGATTCCAGTTGGTGTAAAATAGCTGTGGAAATTATATACTAGCCACCAAAAGAAACTGCGCACATAGGAAATCAAAATATGTTTTGGGACTAGATATGTACACAAGTGCAGATGGAAACGTAGTAGTGAATTGAAATTAACATATACTCTCCCAAAAAAAGAAACGCATCATGAAAATAGCAATTTCATGTAGCAATGAATTAAAACGTGATTCATTTTACAAAAGGTTTTGCTCTGTTTATGAGTCCTACACAACAAAACGCACCATCCGTAAAATACCCGTATTTAACAGCATGATTTTCAATTTCGGCGTGTAGTGTCACAGTATACACAATTCACATGTAATGCACGTGAAAGTTGGGGATCAGATAGTCTCAATGATGGGTATAAAATGTTGATCGCTGTCTGTCGATTATTCACTGTATTTGGAATGTTGCTGACGAACGCAAAATGCCACATCTAAGTGAAGCCAACCGTCATATCGCCATTGGTTTGCTTGAAGCTGGCCAGTCTCAACGTGCAGTTGCCCGACGCATGAATGTTCACCAAAGCACCATTTCACGGGTCTGGAGAGATATCGCCGGAAGAATGCGGTAGCAGATGCCCCTCGTAGTGGGCGACCTCGAGCGACCACTGCGGCGCAGGATCTCTACATCCGGGTACATCAACTGCGTCATCGAACAGCTACGGCGACCAGTACCGCTCGACAAATACCCGGATTGAGGAGGCTTTCTGCACAGACCGTCAGGAACAGGTTGAGAGAGGCTGGTTTACGTGCCAGAAGACCTTATTTTGGCCATGTGCTTCGACAACAACATCGTCGACATGGAGTTCAATGGTGCACCAACGTTCAGGCCTGGAACCTACCGAATTGGCGTAGAGTCTGGTTCAGTGAAGAATCACGATTTCTATTGGAACTATGCGATGGAAGAATGCGGGTGTACAGACGTCGACGTGAACGTTTCGCCGACGCTTGCGTTCCCCGGGTGGACAGATTGGGCCGGGGCAGTGTTATGATGTGGGGAACGATCACCTGCCGTAGGAGAAGTGATTTGGTGATGAACCAGGGCAACCTGACAGCTCAACGGTATTGTGACGAAATCCTACGCCCACACCTCCGGACTTAAACCCGATCGAACATCTGTGGGATGCCCTGGACAGACGGGTGCGACGCCGTAACCCTCAGCCCCAGACACCCCAGCAACTCGCACAGGCACTACAGGCAGAGTGGGCTGCGATTGGGCAATACGAGATTCTGAGACTTATTCGTTCGATGCCGAGGCGATGCCGTGCAGTTCTGGATGCCCACGGTGGTCACACGAGATATTGACTTCAGCGCCACCACACGTCTCCATGTGACACTCAAACTGACTGTCCTCTAGTTGGTGCCAAAGACGGATAAGTCTGCATTCCCAGTGTGCAATTTCGTTATATTTCATTGACTCATAAAGCCTACAAGATGTTTCAAAATAAACATAAAAATACAGTTGAAATTCCTATATGCGTTTCTTTTTTGGGAGAGTATATATATGCATGTGCTACGTTTCGTGACATTTGTGGTTTCAGCATGTACACGTGCGACACGTGTGTGTATGTGTATCTCGGGCACATGGAGAACATGAATGGTAAAAACTGTTTCGATTTGGGAAGCATTATTGTTTGAAGTTTGATCAATCACCAACTTAAAAGGCAAATAAACCGAACACCACGCCACGATTCTGCACAACGTCAGAGAGCTATAGGGGCGGTCTGTGGGGGACTGTCTCAACGTCAGAGAGCAGCAACTATTGGGGCGGTCTGTGGAGGAATTTCTCAAAGTCAGAAAGCTATTGGTCGGTCCGTCTGCGGGGCAATGTCTCAACGTCTGCACATTTCCTTTGCCACTGAAACACAATTTCATCACTGTTGAGACGATACCACAAATTAATGACGTTGCCAATGGCCCAAGTGTATAGGACGTCCACGCTTGTCACAACGCCCTTTCGGGACAGATAGATACGGGTAACCCATCTCCTGTACAGGTTTTACTGCTTCGACCATTCCAGGATTTCGGCGTATCAGCCCAAACACAGTCGGGATCGGGACAACGTCCACATGGACCGGCCAGACGACCTATCCTGACGCAACCATCAATGGTCATGTCCGTCAACCCTGGTTGTGGTTGAAGACGTTTGACGTTTCCTGTTGTGACGGACGTCGACGTGTCTCCGGACACCCCGGATAGCGTTGTGCTAAAGCCGGTGTCATGGAGGCGTGCGGTGACGATTACGGGAGGGATACGTGTACGTCAGAGAATCCGTTTAGTTGATGTTCAGGGCAATTTGACGGGTGCGCTACATAAATCAGATTTTCGGACCACTGGAAATTCCATTAACAACGTCAAGACCAAATATTGACATTCCAACAGGATAATGCCCATTCTCACCAGGCCACGGTTGCCATGGCTTGTGTTCAACAGAACAATGTTCATGAACTACCTTGGCCTGCAATTTCACCTGATGCCACCCCTCTAGAGCATGTGTGGGTTGCAACTGAGCGATGTGTACGTGTACCAAATCCCCCATACAACGTTCGTGATTTGGAAGCAGAGTTGCAGAGAACATGGCAAGCCGTTCCACAAACCTCCCATGCCTATTTGATAGACTCTTCGCGTTGGCGATGCACTTCTGTTCTCGGTGTTCACGGTGGGCATACCGGTACTGTGTTTGTGACATGACTGCTTGACCCCTGCCCCGTTTTCGGACTCGTAACGTCAGCGTCATGGACATTACACATGCCGTTCCGCCGACTTCTTATGATCACGTCATCCTATAAATGTTTCCATGAAACTATTTCATTGAATACTCAATGCCATTTTTAGAAAGCGGGTTAGGCGGCTGACTTTGTGTGCTGGCGATTAGGTGCCTGACTCGGAGGGTGTGGGTTCGAATCCCGGATGGGACTCAACCCTAACAAAGTACTAGAATCTGTACTTTGCCGAGAAAGTGTGATCCCAAATATAACGTTTGTTGAAGTTTTCATTGACGTTATGCATGTATTTTCAAGTTTCAAAGGAATTTTTAAAAAGCCTAGTTTCATTTTGCGGCTAGAATATGAATGGGCAACTGAAAACCCTGTGATGTTGGGGCGTTACTGGGGGATTGCCGTAAATTACTGAGGAGCTACTGACGGGCAACTGGGGGGGCAATGAGGGGCAACTGAGAGCTAACAAGATGCCACCGACAGCTGATGAGGGGCTACTCGGTGTTACGAGGTTACTGGTATTCTCTGATGGTGCATATGCATTAATTTTGTTCATTTCAACATTTAAGGTAAAACAAAAGGAAGGACCGCAGAAGATGAAGCAGCTTATTGCCGCCATTGTGCTGCTTGCCTTGACGAAGGACAGCTATGGACTAACGCCGTCCCTTTGTTCAGTAGGTGTCTGTCTGTCTGACTGACTGTCTGTCTGTCTGTCTGTCTGACTGTCTGTCTGCATGACTGTCTGTTTGTCTGTCCTTCTAACCATCTGTACGCATGTGTAGCTGATTGTGTTTCTAACTATGTGTTTGTTTGCCTACCTTCATTTGTCTCACTTAGTAAGACAGGTGCCAGTATTGCTGACCTGTACCTCAGTCAGTCACTGGATTGTCCCGATTACGAAACAAATACCAAAACTATATGATTCAATACAGCAATATGTTGTCACAGTTGGCGGATATAGTGACATTCTCTGTTACAGCTTGCAGTGACCAGTCGAATGTCGTCCTGGTTGTTGACCGATCCCAAAGCGTTGCTGGCTCATTCGGTGCCATTCAGGCTTCTGTCAACAACTTCATCACGGAAATCTTCAACAACAACCTCAACATCAACGTCGGCTTGGTGTACTACGACAGTTTTGTCGTGCAGCAACAGCCATTGAGTCGCGACCGCAACGCACTTCTGTCCTTCGTGGCTATCCAGAGTGCGGGCACCTCGGGAACCCGGACCGACCTCGCCATCCAGGAAGCCATCAACATGCTCCAAACGTCCCCTTTACCAGCAACGTCGGGCAGCATCATTGTCGTCACTGACGGCATCTCCCAACTACCCACACAGACAGCTGCAGTCGCAGCAGCGGCTAGGGACGCGACATACACCTTGTTTGCTGTCGGAATCAACGTTAACGACAACAACTTCGCACAAGAACTGTACGACATCACCCGTGACCAGTCTCAGATCACACAGGTAGCTGGCGTCAACCAGTTGTCCACAGGGCTGGGCAACATAGCAAGGTCACTGTGTGCCTACACAGGTAAGATCATATTAACGCTGCACAAACAGAGATGTGATGACTTCACTCTGATGGTAGATGCACTCGGAAGGTAGATGCACTTCCTGCATTATATAACACTACACAGGTAGATACACTTCCTGATTATATAACACTACACAGGTAGATACACTTCCTGATTATATAACACTACACAGGTAGATACACTTCCTGATTATATAACACTACACAGGTAGATACACTTCCTGTATTATATAACACTACACAGGTAGATACACTTCCTGATTATATAACACTACACAGGTAGATACACTTCCTGATTATATAACACTACACAGGTAGATGCACTTCCTGTTTATATAACACTACACAGGTAGACACTCTTCCTGATTATATAACACTACACAGGTAGATACACACTTCCTGATTATATAACACTACACAGGTAGAAACACTTCCTGATTATATAACACTACACAGGTAGATACACACTTCCTGATTATATAACACTACACAGGTAGATACACTTCCTGATTATATAACACTACGCAGGTAGATACACACTTCCTGATTATATAACACAACACAGGTAGATACACTTTCTGATTATATAACACAACACAGGTAGATACACTTCCTGATTATATAACACTACACAGGTAGATACACACTTCCTGATTATATAATACTACACAGGTAGATATACACTTCCTGATTATATAACACTATACATGTAGATGCACTTCCTGATTATATAACACTACACAGGTAGATACACTTCCTGATTATATAACACAACACAGGTAGATACACTTCCTGATTATATAATACTACACAGGTAGATACACACTTCCTGATTATATAACACTACACAGGTAGATGCACTTCCTGTTTATATAACACTACACAGGTAGACACTCTTCCTGATTATATAACACTACACAGGTAGATACACACTTCCTGATTATATAACACTACACAGGTAGAAACACTTCCTGATTATATAACACTACACAGGTAGATACACACTTCCTGATTATATAACACTACACAGGTAGATACACTTCCTGATTATATAACACTACACAGGTAGATACACTTCCTGATTATATAACACAACACAGGTAGATACACACTTCCTGATTATATAACACAACACAGGTAGATACACTTCCTGATTATATAACACTACGCAGGTAGATACACACTTCCTGATTATATAACACTACGCAGGTAGATGCACTTCCTGATTATATAACACTACACAGGTAGATACACACTTCCTGATTATATAATACTACACAGGTAGATACACACTTCCTGATTATATAACACTATACAGGTAGATACACTTCCTGTTTATATAAAACTACACAGGTAGATACACTTCCTGATTATATAACACTACACAGGTAGATAGATTTCATGATTGTATAACACTAGACAGGTAGATGCACTTCCTGATTATATAACACTACACATGTAGATAGATTTCATGATTGTATAACACTACACAGGTAGATGCACTTCCTGATTATATAACACTAGACAGGTAGATAGATTTCATGATTGTATAACACTACACAGGTAGATGCACTTCCTGATTATATAAGATTACAAGGTAGATACACTTTCTGATTATGTAACCTTGCACAGGTAGATACACTTCCTGATTATATAACACTACACAGGTAGATACAATTCGTGATTATATAACGCGACACAGGTAGATACACAGTTCCTGATTATATAACACACTTACACTTCCTGATTATATAACACTACACAGGTAGATACACTTCCTGATTATATAACACAATACAGATCATCTACCTTTAAAAACAATATACCAGAGCATAATTAGATCCCACGTAAATAGTTCCAGGGTTAGATTGTCAGTGTTTGTTCCCAGTGTGCAACGGGTGCGCCGTTGACGGAGGTACCCGCATCACAGAGCACCCCGGACGGTGTGACAAGTTTTACCTGTGTGAGAGGAGACCGGATGAACAAATGAAGGCATATGAAAAAGTGTGTCCGATAGGAAGCCTCTTCCATCGTAGAGAACGCACCTGCAAACCCAGCAGGTCTATCCTGAGGGACCCGAACAGTGGATGTAGTAAGTTAAAATCATCAGTTCAGTTACATCGACTGACCCAGTTTTAAAAACATTAGATACTATCTGAAGTTAACCGTGACAGCAAAATCAGAAATGTCGGACATTTCGGAAAGATGTAGGCATTCCTGAACGCACAAATGCGCCTTAATGAATTGTGTCTCAGAATTTCTGTTTTTATTGGTAAACTCAACTCTCGTGAATTTGGCCCAGGGGTTCAAGTTCATCTTTAAGCAAGTCCGTAATCTGATACCAAATAGCCAATTCTCACCAACTGTATTTTTTAACCCGAACGAGACATAAAAGCTTCTCATATGAATGATATACTGTTAAAGGCGTAGTGATACACAACTCACTCATTCATGCCATGGCAAGCTCCGTGAAAAGGGACATCTTTCTTCCGTAGCCAACTGCGCCGGTGCTCAACAGAACTTCCCCTTGGGAGACTTTTGTGAAATCTACTACACCTGCGGTGTCATCGACGGTGAAGCCATCTTGAACGTCAACTGCTGCCCGACATTTCAACGTTACGACAGCAACCTCGGCGTGTGTACGCCAGACAATACCTGCCAACGACGACGGTACGAGGACAAGGTTTCATGTCGGAGTTACTATTCATGTGATGGACCATCCACCACATTCGTCTCCACCTGCTGCAACAGCGACTACTACGATCCAAGCAGTCAACAGTGCACCGGCGACACCAACTGCAAGGGGACGTGTGCGAACTCCGTCTACCACCGTGAGTTCTGTCTTGCACTAACCAAATGAAATATACTCATGGAAACAAATAAGGGAACACATGCAAGTACAAATGTTCCTCTATTCTGTTCCAGGCTACTTCACAGGGTATGTATTGCACTGTGGGTGACATTCCGGGCAAAAATAAAGAAACACTTGTACTTTCACGTCTTCCCTTATTCGTTTGCATGTGTATATATACTACCCATCAAACGTTTAGACTCACTTAAAACACTCACTATATGTTATGTATATACATGTGGTTACATCGAAGATGAATTTCTCCACTAACTTGGGGGAACCAACTGCAAACCTTATGCAGATGAATTACACGAGGATCATGCATCAACTTGCTGAAAAGTATGACGATTGTGCAAATATCGTGCATGTGAACAGCTGCGTTTTGGTGTAAAGTTTTGTTAAGAATTCGCCAATTTTCACTGAGTTTCATCATTTATTGAACTCATGACAATAATCTTGTCAACATAACGAATTTGTTTTACAATACATCAGTTCATGTGTAAACAGTACCCTTAAACTGTATCGAATATTTTGCAAAATCTAGTTTAGATAAGTTGACTGAAGCAAGTGGCCACATTTACACTAGTGAGTCTAAACTTTTGATGGGGAGTATATACCCCCCTAGTTGTGTTTAGACTTTAATGTTGCTGAAACTGAGCTGCACTAATCTCTCCACTCGGCAATAGAAAGTGAACATCAATGACGGTGGCTATTATCAACAGAGTTCGAACTTAACGTAAGTCCTAAGGCCCGAGGCCGACTGAAAACCATTCGGACCCACAGCTTTGTTTTCTGCAGGTTCTTATGGCCAACAGCTTATTCATCCCCAATAACTACAAATTAAGAGTATTATTTTTCAGAAATGATTATTCAGTAAATTCTAGCATTTTTTTATTTTGTTGTAAAGACTAGTCAGTCACTAGAGCTATGTTAAACTATTTAGCTCAGTTTGTTAGTTGTCACAGTTTTGTTTGCCGGGAATTACTTATATTGTAGCTAAAATATAGGACCTACACATTCTGAGCAGGACCCACAACTTTTTATGGTTCTGGGTCCTTAGGGCCTGCAGCTTTTGAGGGTTTAGGGCAAACACTGAAAATCAAACATTCATTTGGGTATGACAGTTGTGTTGGGATCTTACTGTCACAGTTTTCAGCCTAGTGACAGCCTAGTGACACGCCTTTGGCCGGAATTTTTCTCGGTTTGTGCGACAGGTGGCAATAGAGGAGTTTAACGGAGACTTTGAGTCAGTGGACACAAGTCTGGACATTGCAAATCGTGCTACCACCAATCACCCGAAAGTATGCTATTTTCGCTATCCACTATCGAATTTGTGATCACATAACATATTCAGACTCATTTACCTCAGTCGAAAATTTCTTTTTTACCATGAACCTAATGTCTGTTGGTTGAGAAAACTTAGTTATTTCGTTTCAGGCTGCGGTGAGCTTCAACCGAATACTGCTAACAACTGCACGTTTTTTATGCTGTCCGGCACCAGCCTGATCCAGATGGACTGTCCCGGTGGAACTTCCTTCAGCGACACTGAATGTAGATGTGTGCTTGACTCCACCTGTGGAACTCCTTCCACACGTAGGTACCGTGTTATATCACATATTAGAAACATATCTCCACTTCCCCATACTCCCCTTTTCTCCCCTTTCTCCTTCCCATCCCTTCCTTCTTCTTCTCCTTCCTACTTCAAGGCCTCCTCTTAACTCCTCCTCCACTCCTTCTCCCCCCACATTCCTCTCCCTCCTCCCCCTCTGTTCCTCTGCTTCTCCTTCTCTTTTCCTCCTCCCCCTCCCCGCCTCCTTCTTCCTCCCCTCTTTCTTCTGACCCTCTTCCTCCTCTCCTCCCCCTCCCCATCTCCTCTTCTCCTTTTCCTCCCTCTTTCTCTTTCCCTCCTTGTCTTTCTCCTCCTCCTCTCCTGCCCTCCTCCTTCCTCAAACTCCCTACCCTCTTCCTCCACCTTCTCCTTATCGTCCTACCTGATGTCATTACAGCCTGTGTACCTGATGTGGTCATCACCGTCACGCCGTCGCAGAACAGCCGCTGGGGATTCAGTGAAACTAGTCCCAAGCAAAACTGGATAGACGTGAAAAACGTGGAATACGTTGAAAACAACGGCAGAACCATTCGACTGGCCGGGCGAGATAACTTTTTATCTGTTCCATATTATGCAAATAACGACCAGGCATTGGTGGAAAACACGGTGTTCTTCCGGGTCAACGTAAAGGATGACCTCATTGGCCTTTCCGGGAATACTCAGGAAATGGTCGTCCTTAGCAACGTGCCATGTCCTGGAAACAAGAGTGAAGCTGGCATTGAGCCGTCGGTGTACATAACCATGATGCCAGCTACCGGGCAGGTCACATTTAGAGTTCGAACAGTAACTGGAGAGGCAACTGTCAACGTCAATTACGCCCCGGTGAGTGGCTGTGATTCCCTTCTTATTTCTTTACAAAACACTAACCATAACAAATTTCCATTAACCAGGCAGAACAAACAACTATTACAAATTCCCATTAAACAGCCATGTAACCATGTGACGCTACCAATAGGCCAGATATATCATGTAACCATGACACTACCCATAGACCAGACAGATCATGTAACCATGTGACGCTACCAATAGGCCAGATAGATCATGTAACCATGACACTACCCATAGACCAGACAGATCATGTAACCATGACACTACCCATAGACCAGACAGATCATGTAACCATGATTCTACCTATAGACCAGACAGATCATGTAACCATGATTCTACCCATACACCAGATAGACAATGTAACCATGACTCTACCCATAGACCAGACAGATCATGTAACCATGACACTACCTATAGACCAGACAGATCATGTACCATGACTCTACCTATAGACCAGACAGATCATGTAACCATGACTCTACCTATAGACCAGACAGATCATGTAACCATGACTCTACCTATAGATCAGATAGATCATGTAACCATGTGACGCTACCAATAGGCCAGACAGATCATGTAACCATGACTCTACCCATAGACCAGACAGATCATGTAACCATGACACTACCTATAGACCAGACAGATCATGTACCATGACTCTACCTATAGACCAGACAGATCATGTAACCATGACTCTACCCATAGACCAGACAGATCATGTAACCATGACTCTACCTATAGACCTGACAGATCATGTAACCCTGACTCCACCCATAGACCAGACAGATCATGTAACCATGCCTCTACCCATAGACCAGACAGATCATGTAACCATGCCTCTACCCATAGACCAGACAGATCATGTAACCATGACTCTACCTATAGACCAGACAGATCATGTAACCATGACTCTACCTATAGACCAGACAGATCATGTAACCATGACTCTACCTATAGACCAGACAGATCATGTTACCATGACTCTACCTATAGACCAGACAGATCATGTAACCATGACTCTACCTATAGACCAGACAGATCATGTAACCATGACTCTACCTATAGACCAGACAGATCATGTAACCATGACTCTACCTATAGACCAGACAGACCATGTAACCATGACTCTACCCATTGACCAGACAGATCATGTAACCATGACTCTACCCTTAGACCTGACAGATCATGTACAATGATTCTACCTATAGACCAGACAGATCATGTAACCATGACTCTACGTATAGACCAGACAGATCATGTAACCATGACTCTACCTATAGACCAGACAGATCATGTAACCATGACTCTACCTATAGACCAGACAGATCATGTAACCATGACTCTACCTATAGACCAGACAGATCATGTAACCATGACTCTACCCATAGATTAGTCAGATCATGTAACCATGACTCTACCCTTAGATCTGACAGATCATGTACCCATGACTCTACCTATGGACCAGACAGATCATGTAACCATGACACTACCCATAGACCAGACAGATCATGTAACCATGACTCTACGTATAGACCAGACAGATCATGTAACCATGACTCTACCTATGGACCAGACAGATCATGTAACTATGACACTAATCATAACCCTGGTAGAAGAACACTTACCTGATACTAGCATGCTCCAGTACTATAGTTATGCTACATCAAGTAACAGCAGCAAGCCACTACATGTCTGTAGCAGATCCACTGAGGATCTTGGTTTGTGTCAATTCACTGTAAACCTTCTTGCACAGTTTCTGGACGGAAGGTGTTTTGTACTGCTTGGGGTCGAAATCAGTGACAAGCCTGGAAGTGAAAATTGAACACCGTAAACATAGTTTTAAGTTTACACATATTTGTGGACTAGAACAAGGGTGATCATGATGGGTGATCATGATGGGTGATCATGGTGGGTGAACATGATGGGTGATCTCAGTTGTATCCTGAATGTTGACCTCCAGACTAACTCGGACGACTGGAAAGAGATCACAATGAGGTACACACAATCCCCCGGGCTGCTGGAGGGACGCGTCATCCTGTACAGCTTGGACGCCAGCGGCAACCGCATCTTCAATGGACAGGAGTTTTCCGGGACAAGTTCAACTGCATCTGGTCGTAAGTAACGTCTATACCAGCTTAGAATGTTATCACCGAACTCTCTGTTATGAATGTTACAACCGAACCATGTGTTATGAATGTTATCAGCGAACCCCGTGTTATGAATGATACCACCGAACCCTGTGTTATGAATGTTATCAACGAACCCCGTGTTATGAATGTTAACAACGAACCATGTGTTATTAATGTTATCAACGAACCTCGTGTTATGAATGTTATCACCGAACTATGTGCTATGCCTGTTATTACCGACCCCTGTGTTATGCCTGTTATCACCGAAATCTCTGCAATGCCTGTTATTACCGACCCCTGTGCTATGCCTGTTATTACCGACCCCTGTGTTATGCCTGTTATTACCGACCTCTGTGTTATTCCTGTTATTACCGACCCCTGTGTTATGCCTGCAATAACGGAACAATGCGTTATATCTGTTATTACCGAATCCTGTGCTACAAATGTGATTACCAAACCCTGTGTTATAAATTTCAGCACCGAACCCTGTTATGAATGTTATCAACGAACCCCGTGTTATGAATATTATCACCGAACCCTGTGTTATGAATGTTATCACCGAACCATGTGTTATGAATGTTATCAACGAACCCTGTGTTTTGAATATTATCACCGAACCCTGTGTTATAAATGATACAACCGAACCATGTGTTATGAATGTTATCACCGAACCATGTGTTATGAATGTTATCACTGAACCCTGTGTTATGAATGTTAACAACGAACCATGTGTTATGAATGTTATCAACGAATCCCGTGTTATGAATGTTATCATCGAACCATGTGTGATGAATGTTATCACCGAACCATGTGTTATGAATGTTAACAACGAACCATGTGTTATGAATGTTATCAACGAATCCCGTGTTATGAATGTTATCATCGAACCATGTGTTATGAATGTTATCACTGAACCCTGTGTTATGAATGTTAACAACGAACCATGTGTTATGAATGTTATCAACGAATCCCGTGTTATGAATGTTATCATCGAACCATGTGTGATGAATGTTATCACCGAACCATGTGTTATGAATGTTATCACCGAACCATGTGTTATGAATGTTATCAACGAACCATGTGTTATAAACGTTATCACCGACCCTATTATGAATGTTATCACCGAACCCTATTATGAATGTTATCAACGAACCATGTGTTATGAATGTTATCACCGAACCATGTGTTATGAATGTTATCACCGAACCATGTGTTATGAATGTTATCACCGAACCCTGTGTTATGAATGTTATCAACGAACCATGTGTTATAAACGTTATCACCGACCCTATTATGAATGTTATCACCGAACCCTATTATGAATGTTATCAACGAACCATGTGTTATGAATGTTATCACCGAACCATGTGTTATGAATGTTATCACCGAACCCTGTGTTATGAATGTTATCACCGAACCCTGTGTTATGAATGTTATCAACGAACCATGTGTTATACATGTTATTACCGAACCCTGTGTTATGAATGTTATCAACGAACCATGTGTTATACATGTTATACATTATTCATAACACATGGTTCGGTGATAGCATGTTATTACCGAACCCTGTGTTATGCTTGCTATCACCGAACCCTGTGTTATGCTTGCTATCACCGAACCCTGTGTTATGAATGTTATCACCGAACCCTGTGTTATGCTTGTTATCACCCAGTGTCGTGTTTGTTATCATACTGAGCCCTGTGTGCTATCTATTCCTCGATCCCTCTACCACTACATTTAGCTGTGTCTAAACCTCCTCCTACCTACATTGGGTTCAGGCTAAACTGTGTATTTGCCTTCCAGGCATCCTGACAAGTGACTGCGCCATGAAGCTGGGCAGTGGATCGTACACTGTCAACTCATTCGCTGGGCTGGTTGATAATGTAAGTCAGCTATATCTACCCGTGCACAGACAATGAGATAATCCCAAAATGAAATGAAAATATTCGCACATTTTATGAAACCTTATAATCTTATGAATCTAACCATAGTTGATTGATGAAGAACAGCAATACGTACGGTGTTGCTCGAATAAACACCCTTACGTCCCACCACTGCTAACCTCAGCCTTACGTCCTACCATTCTTAACCTCACCCTGACGTCCTACCATTCTTAACCTCACCCTTACGTCCTACCATTCTTAACCTCACCCTTACGTCCTACCATATCTAATCTCACCCTTACGTCCTACCATTCTTAACCTCATCCTTACGTCCTACCATTCCTAACCTCACCCTTACGTCCTACCCTTCCTAACCTCATCCTTACGTCCTACCATTCCTAACCTCATCCTTACGCCCTGTCATTCCTAGCCTCACCCTTTCGTCCTACCATTGCTAACCTCACCCTTATGTCCTGTCATTCCTAACCTCACCGTTACGTCCTACCATTCCTAACCTCATCCTTACGTCCTACCTTTCCTAGCCTCATCCTTACGTCCTACCATTCCTAACGTCACCCTTACGTCCTGTCATTCCTAATCTCACCCTTACGTCCTACCATTCCTAACCTCATCCTTACGTCCTACCCTTCCTAACCTCACCCATACGTCCTGTCATTCCTAACCTCATCCTTACGTTCAACTTTCCTACTTCATCCTTACGTCCTACCATTCCTAACCTCACCCTTACGTCCTGTCATTCCTAACCTCACCCTTATGTCCTACCATTCCTAACGTCACCCTTTCGTCCTACCATTCCTAACCTCATCCCTACGTCCTACCCTTCCTAACCTCAGCCTTACGTCTTACCATTCCTAACCTCACCCTTACGTCCTATCATTCCTAACCTCATCCTTACGTCCTACCATTCCTAACGTCACCCTTACGTCCTGTCATCCCTAACCTCACCCTTACGTCCTACCATTCCTAAACTCATCCCTACGTCCTACCATTCTTAACCTCACCCTGACGGCCTACCATTCCTTACCTCACCCTTACGTCCTGTCATTCCTAACCTCACCCTTACGTCCTACCATTCCTAACCTCATCCTTACGTCCTACCATTCCTAACCTCACCCTTACGTCCTACCATTCCTTACCTCACCCTTACGTCCTACCCTTCCTAAACTCATCCTTACGTCCTACCATTCCTAACCTCACCCGCACGCCCTGTCATTCCTAGCCTCACCCTTTCGTCCTACCATTCCTAACCTCACCCTTACGTCCTGTTATTCCTAACCTCACCCTTACGTCCTACCATTCCTTACCTCACCCTTACGTCCTGTCATTCCTAACCTCACCCTTTCGTCCTACCATTCCTAACCTCACCCTTACGTCCTGTTATTCCTAACCTCACCCTTACGTCCTACCATTCCTTACCTCATCCTTACGTCCTACCCTTCCTAACCTCATCCTTACGTCCTACCTTTCCGAACGTCACCCTTACGTCCTACCATTCCTAACCCTCATCCTTATGTCCTACCATTCCTTAACTCCTCACCCTTACGTCCTACCATTCCTAACCTCTCATCCCATACGTCCTACTCATTCCTAACCTCACCCTTACGTCCTACCCTTCCTAAACTCTATCCTCACGTCCTACCATTCCTAACCTCATCCTTATGCCCTGTCATTCCTAGCCTCACCCTTTCGTCCTACCATTCCTAACCTCACCCTTATGTCCTGTCATTCCTAACCTCACCGTTACGTCCTACCATTCCTAACCTCATCCTTACGTCCTACCTTTCCTAGCCTCATCCTTACGTCCTACCATTCCTAACGTCACCCATACGTCCTGTCATTCCTAATCTCACCCTTACGTCCTACCATTCCTAACCTCATCCTTACGTCCTACCCTTCCTAACCTCACCCATACGTCCTGTCATTCCTAACCTCATCCTTACGTTCAACATTCCTACTTCATCCTTACGTCCTACCATTCCTAACCTCACCCTTACGTCCTGTCATTCCTAACCTCACCCTTATGTCCTACCCTTCCTAACGTCACCCTTACGTCCTGTCATTCCTAACCTCACCCTTACGTCCTACCCTTCCTAACCTCAGCCTTACGTCCTACCATTCCTAACGTCACCCTTACGTCCTGTCATTCCTAACCTCATCCTTACGTCCTACCCTTCCTAACGTCACCCTTACGTCCTGTCATTCCTAACCTCACCCTTACGTCCTACCATTTCTAACCTCATCCTTACGTCCTACCATTCCTAACCTCACCCTTACGTCCTACCATTCCTTACCTCACCCTTACGTCCTACCATTCCTAAACTCATCCTTACGTCCTACCCTTCCTAACCTCATCCTTACGTCCTGTCATTCCTAATCTCACCCTTACGTCCTACCATTCCTAACCTCATCCTTACGTCCTACCCTTCCTAACCTCACCCTTACGTCCTGTCATTCCTAACCTCACCCTTACGTTCAACATTCCTACTTCACCCTTACGTCAACCGCACCCTTACGTACTACCATTCCTAACCTCACCCTTACGCCCTACCATCCGAACCTCATGCTTACGTCGTACCATTCCTAACCTCACCCTTACGTCAACCTCATCCATACGTGGTACCACTCCTAACCTCACCCTTACGTCAACCTCATCCTTACGTCCTACCATTCCTAACCTCACCCTTACGTCGCTGCCTCGTCTACGTTGCAGGTTGCGTTCTACACGTCGTGTGAGTCTGGTGTTCCTGCCGTCAACGCTGTCAACATCCCGGTGTAACGGTGTTCTGTCAAAGGTCACGTCCTCATAGATTGGGACGTCATGAAAAGAGCGCTGCGTCCTCTCATCCTATAGTTTCTCTTACGATCTCGGTCTTTTTTCTAAAAACAATTTGTAATTGTGAATGATGTATCTTCTACGTACATGTTGTCTTGCTGGGCCCTTGTTGTTGTTGTGATACCCCACTGTCTAGATGCACCGGGAAATAAATAACACTTTTTATGTCGTGATATCTTTGCATTTCTTTTTGAGAATACAATATGAACGAGTTACAGGTAGGCATTTTCGTATCTCAAACTGGATAAAGAGTAACGTTGTTCAGGCATCCCTTTCTTCCTTGGGGCGGTGGGGTAGCCTAGTGGTTACAGCGTTCGCTCGTCACGCCAAAGACTCGGGTTCGATTCCCCATATGCGTACAATGTGTGAAGCCCATGCCGCGGTGTTCCCTGCCGTGATTTGGCTGGAATATTGCTAAAAGCGGCGTAAAACCATACCCACTCACTCACTCCTGTCTTCCTTTCCTCCATTCGCTGTGCGGAGTTGTGTTCCTTTGGGCGCACCAGGATGCAATTGCGCTCTGCACGACACCTATTAGTCACGCTTCAACACAAAGACATACTATTAGCTTTCTCAGAAACATGGAGCAACAAGTTTTATCCTGTTCATATTCTAAACAACTTTGCTTTCAACAATTACTTTACATATGAAGACTTCAGGAACATGATTTTTTTTCAAAATAAAATCTACCCGCAAAAAGATGATAATGTTGAATAATGTCAAAACATTGCGTTATTTAACTTTGTACACTTTATCCCAGATAAAAAACTTACCTCCGTCATATGATCCTTAAGTTCGGGGTAACTGGAGAAAAAGGTAAAAGCACGTGTCCTCTGTAGTATGCTGTATGATCGTATTCCGCGTTCCAAATTCAAGTTACGAACGATGTTCGCAAGCGTCCTCGAGCTTCAGTTGTAATTGTTCGGGGCAAAGCGGTACTTTATTACACTGTACTTGGGGGTGAAGAGAACTGTACGTATAAAATCAGTGATGAAATAATGTGATACAGAGAGTGAGTGAGTGAGTTTGGTTTTATGCCCGCTTTTAACAATATTCCAGCAATATCAGGGCGGGGGACACCAGAAATGGGCTTCACACATTGTACCGTGATACAGAGAAGATGGGGAGCGAGACCTGAGTGGTCCCACCACTTGCTGGAGGAAGTCATTTGTTCAGCTGAAGCCAAACATGTAAACGTATGGTACCGGTCAAATCAGATAATTTGCACCAGATATCGTTTTCTGTCGCTGATGTCTGTTTTTGAAATATGGCCAAAATATACAACTTTCTGTCAACTGGAATCAAGCTTTGGATGCTACTGAAGCGAATTACTGAGTGAGTTACGTCAGAAGTCAGTACGTGATGGTGACACAGATATATATATATATATATTGCATGCACTGAAAAAGGAAACCGATGTGGTACCACATAGCCTGCTGTCGGCGTGTTTCTTGCCTAGCCGACAGCACCTGTTCTCTAATACCAGCTTTTTGACGGCTACACCATTTATGTGTACGACTGCCCTGGCGGTCTACTCCCATCTGTGAGAACTCCCAATTGTGAGACTCCCAGTTATGAGACAGTGGAGTAGGTAATTAACAAAGAAAACACACCATACTCCCATGTCTGATAGAATGGATTAACCCTAGCTAATTACTGATATGCTATGTAACTGAATCTTGTGGAAATCTTAATGAAACTTTATAAGATAAATTGATTAACATATACTCAGGTAAATGTCTTTAACAATTTATCACTTTGTGAAGGTAACTTTTGAAAGAGAAATTATTTTACCTACTCAGATTTACATCCGTCTCCGAAACTACAAGATATAGTTTAAGAATAACTCTAAAATACAAGTTTACAGTCGAACGGCCTCTTATGCCAAACCCTTTTTACCCGACACTACCCGTTATAACCTGGATACCATTTTGAACGGAAACAAAGAATTTACTCCTTGTGTAAACCAGAAAATATAATAGTTGAATCTGTCCACGATTATATCATCAAGACACAACCTTCAAATTTTCTCAGGAAAATACTTAAATTAACTCAACAACCTTCTCATGATTGATTTATATTCCTACAATAGCTTGTTAGACACACACAACTGTAAGTCTCTAATTATGACTACTTAGAGAATAGTTGAATTTGATGTAATCTGTATATATTTATATGTACTTAAAAATATATTTATGCAATAGTCAATATAGATGACGTCTCATCCTCCATTTCATTTTGTATTTTATGTTGCATGGAAGCGGTGTTAACATAAGCAGTAATGCTTGTTCACTACTCCCAATTCATTTTTATAAATAATAATAAACTAGGACTTTCAAACTTCATAATAGTCAATAAAAATGTGTTATCATAATTACATATTCTTCTGAATAAATAAAATATTTAATGAACTATTTCTTCTGTGTAAATATAATCTTTGATAATCTATTTCATTAATCAACTCAACAATGAACTATGGCTCCTGTGGGTACTGGGCTGGGCTGATCCCACTTTCATTGTAGGGATGTGGAAACACCACCTATGTGCACTGAACCATTAATTAATGTGTCTCACAACTGGGAGTTCTCACAAATGGGAGGACACCGCCCTGGCACGATTAAAAGTCCCAGCCCAATTTTCGACAAGCACATACAAGTTTAAATTCCCTATGTAACATAAAGCTATAAAGTCAGAAAAATGTTGCTAATCGAACGCTATTATTCGAAATGTTACAAAACTCAATACTTATCATCATTCATTACAGCTAACACATTCTGCATCACACAATCTCTGTTCGCTAATAAGGGACGTCTCTATATGTATAGACTGTGTGTTTGATAGTTCAATACCTGGACGACACAGGAATATTCAATTACAACCTTGTGACGCCTCCATGGACTACAACGTGCGCTGTACCCGACCACGACTGATGTAAGGGAGATAACCCAGTACAACACAATATTATCTCCCTTTATCTATTAAATATTTTCATGCATATCCTAATAGTGTGAGTGAGTGAGTTGAGTTTTACGCCGCACTCAGCAATATTCCAGCTATATGGCGGCGGTCTGTAAATAATCGAGTCTGGACCAGACAATCCAGTGATCAACAGCATGACCATCGACCTGCGCAATTGGGAACCGATGACATGTGTCAACCAAGCCAGCGAGCCTGACCACCCGATCTCGTTAGTCGCCTCTTACGACAATCATGGGTTACTGAAGGTTCAATCTTACCCGGACCTTCACAGGTTATATCCTAATATAGAATATAACGAAAGTGTGAATCAATAGGAAAGTGGGATCACATAACTACCTGCCATATTTTAACATATCTTAAGACATCCAGAAATATAAGCAAGGGGATGCTTGTCAATCCGACCACTTCAGTTTTTCCCCTCTACATGACTACAGGCCATAACAGTTACACCACGTTCAGGATAGAAATAAAAGCAATCAAACGTTGCCATAATTATTTAAATTATACATTTGTAATTTGGTTTGATAATAACGGAATGAACGCCCCATTTTGAGTCAGTGAGTTTATATCTATTTATGTTTTCTATAAAAAATAATCGAGTTTTATATATACTAAGCAGGAAAAGAAACGTCAGTTTGGAATTTTCCTTAGCAGAAACGGTTAACTGTAAACTCATTTAATGTTTTGATTGTATATTTTTGACAATATCTCCAACTTTACCTAAGCAAAGACATTCCTTCCCAAACTCAGAATGGAACCCAGGAAATGGTCTCAAAAACGCAACCTGATCTCGGAGATGGTACGTTGTTCTCCATGTTTTTCATGCAACTCATGCTGCACGTGCTGATCACAAGGACCAGCCTTATAAAATGCAACCCCCAAAACCTGGTTAAAACATTCACATAACAACGTCAGCAGGATGCCACGACTCACGACAGCTCAGAGGAACCAGGCGCTAGGAAGACTTGAAGCTGGCCACACTGCACAAGCCGTTGCCAATCACTTCCAGGTCAACGTTCGGACCATCTACAGGCTGCAGCAACGTTTCCGGGCCACAAACACCACAAATGATCGCCCCTGTTGTGCGACAGCATGTACAGAATCCCTTCATGCAGGCATCCGAAACAGCACGCCAGACAGGGGGGAACACACGGAAGACCAATCAGTACTGATACAGTACGCCGACGTCTTAACAGCGGGAACCTCCATTGGCGTAGACCTTACCGTGGACCTATCTTCACTCCTCGTCATCGGTGTGAACGTCTACAGTGAGGCCTACAACACCAAAACTTGCAATACAGACAATGGAGAACTGTTCTGTTCACAGACGAGAGTCGGTACTGCGTATCAACTGCAGATGGCAGAACAGGAATATGGCGACGACGTGGCCATCGTTACACCAATGTGTTATGGAAAGAGACTCATGGGGAGGTACAAACATGATGGTATGGGGTGGAATAGTCCTGAACCAGAGAGTGGGTCCTGTGGTGTTCCAGAACCTTGGTCCAGGGAGAGGAGGCGGCATCACAGCGGTGCGCTACATCGACCAAGCTCTCAGACCACACGTCATACCACATTTCGCACGTCACCGGAACAACATTTTCCAGCATGATAACGCCCGGGCCCATACTGCCAGAGCTACACGGGACTTCCTACAGCAGAACGGTGTCAACATCATGCAGTGGCCAACCCTTAGTCCTGATTTAAACCCAATTGAACATCTTTGCGATGAAATTCAGAGGAGACTGAATAATGTCAGACCAAGGCCGAACACAGCCGATTTATTGCGCCAGGCCTTTCTCAGAGTGTGCTTCCAGGTGCTAATGGCCTTCATCAATCGATTGGTGCACTCCATACATAGACGCTGTGCTGCAGTTATTGCCGCTTGTGGTGGTCACACTAGATACTGCAGTCAAGGGTCTGAATGGGCTGCAAACGTTCACGTAATGTCTTGAAATTATTAATTGGTGTGTCAAGATATTGTACACAAAAAATGTTTCTGATTCGCTTATTATGTCCATTTCTGTAATGATTTGATTACAGTGCCTATCTAATTTTGAATTCGTACTGACGTTTCCTTTGATGCTGAGTATATAAGTATAAAATGTTGAGTTGAGTAAAATGAAATGAGTGCACTGTTTGTTATTTTCTTTGAAGAATGGCTTGTTAAAGGAGGTTCTCAACAAACTAATCT